ATATCTGTAGTTTGGCCAGAATAAAGTCAGAAATAAAAGATATGTTTTCTTGAGCATCTAAGGCATTTTTAAAAACTGTCTTTCCCCTTGGGCTTTGAATTTAAAAAAGGGAAGGGAAACAAGGAAGGAAGGAAGGAAAGAAGGGGGGAGAAACGTTGAAAGGAAGGGAGGAAGTTGAAAAGAAGGGAAGGGAGGGAAGAGAAGGAAGGAAGAAGGGAGGATGAAGGCAGGCAGGCAGGCAGGAAGGGAAGGAGGGAGGGAGGGAGGGAGGAAGTTGAAAGGAAGGGAGGGAAAAGAACAGAAGGAAGAAGAAAGGCAGGCAGGAAGGGAGGGAGGGAGGAAGTTGAAGGGAGGGAAGAGAAGAGAACGGAAGGAAGGAGGAAGGGAGAATGAAGGCAGGCAGGAAGGAGAGGGAATGGAGGAATGGAGGAAGATAGATGAAGGGAAGATAAAGAGAAAGGAAGGAGAAAAGGAAGGGAAGGAAGGAAGACAGAGGAGAAGGAAGGTGAAGGGAATTTCCTATTTATTCTTTGGGTATGTCGTGAAGAAGAAACAAGATTTTAGGAACACCCTCATTTGGTGACACAACTTTCCACTTTTTTTTAAAAAAAGAGTTTTCTCATTGAAAAAGTGGCGCATCTCTACGGTCTAAAATCACCACAACAACATCCTTGTTCCACTTCCATTTCCTCCACCGGCTGTGAGCCAGCGTCCCAAATTATTCCAGCCAAAGAAGACGTAAATCTCCAAGGCATTTCTCTCCCCCCTCCCCAACCCCCCCAAGTTAGATTATCCTTTCGGATTAGGGTATGTGTGTGTGTGTGTGGGGGGGTGGAATTTGGACCCTGCAGAGCAAACATCCGGCGGCTCCTGTTTCATTTAGACAAATTCCCCCCTTGCAGTTTTGCAGGGCAAAAAAAAAAAGAAAAGAAAAACAAAAGAGATTAACTCAACAGCCAACTGACGCATCCAAAAGGTGGCAGGCGGAGAGAATTTCCTTGGAAGATCGGAGCAAATTTTGGGGTGTCAGGATTGGCAGGTTGGCGGGGAGGTCCCTCCCAGCAGGGATGTTTCACGTCCCTGAGGGGGAAATGTTTAAACTGCTTAAAAATGCTCTTTGAGATCCCCGAGTCCTTCAGCAAAGGGATTTCCACCCATCTGGCATCAGGTAAGTCGGTTGCTCCCTGCAGGATCCTTGGCTGGGAGCAGAAAACTTGAGAAGCTAGCTTTCTACACCCAGGGAACCCTAGAAGCTTTCTTTCGCAGGGGGGTGACTGGAGAAAACCTTGAGCGGAGGGGTTGGACTAGATGACCTACAAGGCCCCTTCCAACTCTTCTGTTATTTAAAAAAAAAAACAAAAACCACGGGGTGCAAATGTTTTGATCTAATCTGTGGGGTTGACTTGTTTGAGGGGGGGGGCGGTTGAGGGTTGAAGCCCATTTTGGCTGGGTTCATTTTAATAAAATTGGCTGCATTTCATTTAAAACAAAATTAGTCGGGATAATGATGGAGCTGGAAATTGGGAGCTGAGCCAAAATGTTTTCATATATATTTATATATAAAATTTTCCTCTTGGCGTCTGGGCTTGCAAAATTGTATTTTTGCCTGCCTTCTTCCATCCGAGAAACAATTAGATGATATTTAGAGAGAACCTCTGCCAAAAAAGTTTTATAAAATCAGTGACGATTCAAAGAGACGTTGTGTGCACAGTTTCTTCCTCTGCATTACGGAGGTAGGTCTCGCTTAACAACCACAATGGGGAAACGAAAAAGCGGTCACTAAGTGAAACTGCAAAAGTGGTAATATTCTAGTTTGACTTATCCTTGGCTTTACAGATCTGGGAAGGTTCTCAACACGAGGACTGGCCCCCCCAAGTTACTTTTTTAAATCACTGTCATAACCAACAGTCACTAAACAAGGCAGTCGCTAAAAAGAGGACTAGCTGTCATTTTAGCATCTCTAACATTTTCAAGGATGCTGTTTCTGCACTGTGGAGAGAATAAGTCAGGACGGCATGGCAGTGGTTACTCCCCCTTGGCCAACCAAGGCCAGAAACGATGGGAAATGATGGGAAACCACATCAGTTGCCAGATGTGAACATCTGGAAATCCAGAAGCCCCGTTAACAAAGAATCCAGGTTCCTATCCCACATCTATTTCTTAGAACTCACAAGAGGGATCCATGGCTTTGATTCCCATTTCTCTCTCTCCCTCCCTCCCTCTCTCTCTCTCTCTCTCACTTCTTTTTCAGACCTGCTAACCTTGGTTACCTGTGGAACCTGTTTCAGCGAAATATGA